GAAAATACAACAAGGGGCTGTTAACTCTGCTTATAGAAAATGAAGAGCAAAGAATTCGTATCAGGTGTGTTTTGCGTTTTTAATATTTTTAAAAAGTAATTTATGAAGCCACTTTAATCTGTATCGCATAAAAACTTGTTATTAATTGTTATATAACAATCCTTCCACATTCAAAAAGCTTTTTTTTTTTTGTAAATAAAAAGCCTGACAATGTCACTGCTTAATACCTTTTACCGCTTTTCATTTATCTCTATGGTTTCCGATTAGGTTCACCTGCCCCTCCTCATTATCTTATGTATATTTAAGCCCTGAGTTTGTTTCTGTTTATTGTCTAGTATTGTCTATGGAAAGGTGTTTTTTGTTGAGTGAGAGTGTGAGTATTATTGATTGCTGTAATTAGATCATCTGCTTGTTTTTTTATGGAGCTAGGTGTGAGAAGATATTGAGTATTAATCACTCAAACACCTTTACTAAGCCTTTCTACATAACCATTGCACTCACACATTCACCACATTTGTAGCTTAATGACTTTTAATTGTGTTTGTGTGATGAGAAATGAATTCTCCAAAGTGCAATGGATTGTGGGAAATATTAGCCTTCAGAATGAACAGACCATCCAGATGTTGGGATACTCGTTTCAACTTACACTAATTATAATTCTGATTTCAAAATAGACCTACTATTTATAATAGTTTATATGTGTCCAGAAGCTGAAAAACAGTTTTCACAGGCAGCATACAGAAGCAGGAAGGCAACAACTTATGTCCTAATCTTATGATCGTGGCACATACTTTCTACTGAGATACCTTCATCTGATCAATTTTTTTTTTTTTGAACGAACATAGACGTATCCTTCACTGCGCATGATATCCCACTATCCTGGGGTGTGTTTCCCAAAGGCATCGTTAGCTAAATATGGTCGTTAGTTCCATTGAACTGTATTGGTAATGACAGAGCTTGCGACCATATTTGCTTTTGGAAAATGCACCCCTGTTTGATTGTGAGATATTTTTTGCTAAGAAATAAAATGATATCTGAAAGTTGTGGTGTCAAAGCTAGACAAGGCAAGGAGAATCTAATAGCAGCTGATTTTCTCATTAAAAGCTCTGTAGAAAGGTACCATTTAGTTCATTATTCCTGTTTCATTATAATGCTACATCTACAGCAATTTTACATTTTAGTGTTTATTTATCATTTAATCGTGGACACTTGTTGAGTGAGCTAAATTGTTTGATGCATTCAAAGTGCACATCTTTTTTTGGCAACATGGTATTCTGTGTTATTTTTTTAATCTTGTAACTATTTTATGAATTATATTTTGGTTTATTTTTGTCCTGGAAAATATCACAATAAGAGCTTTTATTTATAATATAATAGTCACATTCACCTGACTTGCACTTTTGTCTCCAACCCGTTGATATTACTGGAAAAGCACACATATTGAGGTACCTTTATGTAGCATAACAGGGCTGCAGATAAAACGAACTGGGTGAGAAATGGGGCTGTGTTCTTTAAGAAGCAGTGTCAAAAGGCCCATTGATCTGTTGTGCTTCTAGGTTAAGCATCAAAGTGGAGATTTCAGCATCCTGATCAAAATACTACCATTCTTTCCCCCAAAGGCAGCTGGAGGCTACATGCTGGGACAGTCATATTACATATATGCACTATCCAGGGTTTCTGCAGGCAGTGGCGTGCACAGGGTGGGGGGGCCGGGGGGGCCCCTTTGAGGTCCGACGCTAAAGTGTCCTTGCGGTCCGGTCTACGTGCCCCCAGTCCGCGATTTCTGCCGAGGGTTGGGGTGTGCGATATGAAGATTTTTGATCGTGGACGATAAAAATGTCTCCACGATCTGCTTTTGAAGAAATATCGTTATCAATATACTGTACGACGCGACATACATTAACATCAGTGTTAACTCAGCGGTAGGGTTACTCTCACGGGACACTGCACTTATTCACAATCACAAAAGTACATTTTTTGCATTTGCTTTAAAGCCTTACTGGTTAAACGTTTCATTTGTGTGCTCTTCTGACAAGCGCTTTTTCTGAGCACACCCAAAAAAGCCTGTCAAACAGTGCCTGATTACTGAACTAAGTTATGTTTTGTGCTAATACTGTCAAAACACAAGGTTTATGTATAGACTCAGTTGGTTATGTCTAAAATGAAAGTAAAAAAACTGAGAGAAACGGGTGCTGCCTGTATATTAAATGCGTGCAGGCAGGGGTGTCATGCACTCATGATTTTTGAGGGGGCACGACTGGGGGGGATGCTGCACTCGTCATGCTTGTCATGTGATATAC